CGTGGCAGGGGCCGCGGTGCGCCAGCTCTGGCTTAGGAAGCAACGAGAGACCCATCCGGGACATCAGGTACCTGTCACACAGACAAGTCCAAAGGTGGGGTTTGGGTTTGGTTTTCTTTTCTTCTTTTTTTTTTCTTTGAGAGCTTTTGATGAGTTTCTAGTCTGTTCTCCCCAGTTGTTTTCCAAAGGGGTAGGAGTTACCGGCTGGATCTAGTCTATCAGGGAGCCATCTCCGCCTTCCTCATTTTCCCATCTGTAAAACGTGGGATGTTACTGGGGCCACCGTAAAGATGGACTAGATAGGTCCGTATCCTGAACTCATTTCTCCCAGTGACTTCAGTGGGATGCCCAGCCCAGAACAATGGCAGGATACACGACCCTAAACATTTCTGCAGCGCTTTGAAAGATGAAAAGCAGTGACTTTTATACCCATGTCAGTGTAGGGGCAGGACAACGGCTCATGATGTTTATAGCAGACATCACGGACATTACACATGAAAACATGGGAAATGGTGCCCTTTTCTTGTAGGGAGATAATCTTTAATAGATGGCAACGAGGAAATAAAAGCGTTCGTACACAACAGCCTGCCTCACGGAGGGGTATGTTTGCCCCAGGAACATGGCCACAGCCGCAGATGTTTCCTCCAGAGCCAGAACGGCTGCATGGGGCTGTTCCTTCTGAGGAACCGGAACGAGAGAAATCCCAGCACACGCTTTCCCTCCCCCTCCTCGCCCCTTGTTGCAGTTGTGGAGAAAAGCGCAGCCCCAGTGCTAGATTTTTCAATGGGAACATTCCCCTAAAATCCATCTTTTCCCCCTTTGGAGCAGTAGAAGACGATGAAATAAACAAACAAAGACATGACCATGACTTGAAGACAGTATTTAACCCTCCCTTTTCTGAGATATTTTATTGGTCTCCAAAGATAACAGGCCAAAGCCTCCGCCCTTAAAGATTGCTTTTGGGGAGGGGACCAGGGACCGATGTGCGTGAAGGTGCTGGATGACGACCTGGCTGTGCGACCCCAGGAGAAGGCTTTACTCTCTTCCCACCTTTAGGGATAACAGGCCAAAGCCTCCGCCCTTAAAGATTGCTTTTGGGGAGGGGACCAGGGACCGATGTGCGTGAAGGTGCTGGATGACGACCTGGCTGTGCGACCCCAGGAGAAGGCTTTTTTTTTTTTTTTCTCTTTTTTTCCTTTTTTCCCTCCATGGAAACGATCTGTGACTCTTGTCACTCAGAGAAGCCTACACAGCAACACGGCTTGTTTACTCGCTGTTGTCTTTGGTGGATTGAAGCTGTGTGGCCTTGTCCTCGTTCCAGGGAACGCATGGCCATAGCTGTCTGAAGGAAAACCCTAACGATTGTATAGTTTTCAGCGCTAAGTGGCAGTCAGCCACCTCGCTTTTATTGTTAGCGGATTACAATGTCGCCTCGCTGCTCTGCGCCACACACCACGCTGTGAGCAGCATCATTCAACAAAAGAAAATCCCCTCCAAAGCGACCACGTTCTCCAGCCTAATGGATCTGGTGGAGGCTCCGTTCATCCGATAGCGTTTTTCTCTTTGCGTCTCCCCCACAGGCGGGGATAGGGAGAGGGGCAGAATCCCTGTGGGAAGCTCCCGTCCACGATGTAAGCCCGAGGGTGGTCGCTGCTGGATCCCACACCCTCCCGAGAGCGGAGCTGGGTTTCCTCACCCCGACCAGCCTCCGGAGCTGTTCAGCGTCTTTCCCACTTGAACCCTCAAAAAGAGGGGCGTGCAACATAACAACATCTTAACTTGTTTGTGCCATGAAAGGAGCTGGAAAGAATGCACTGAACCACATGACAAGCGAGGACATCAGGCTGCGCAGAGAATAGAAAGACCTCATTTTTAATTACTTCTGAACAAAGTTGGCTCAGTAAAGCGTTTCCCATTGTACTGCTGAACTTTTCTTCTCATCGCACAGCAGTGAAATGCAGGCCCCTCTGCTGCTGCAAGTGAACGAAAATCAAGTCTGCGTTAGGGATCATTTCATTTCCTATTAAAAGCAGACTCTCCAGCTATCACCAGCGTTTCAGACTTTTCTGCAGCACCCAGGCGCTTCTTCGTCATTGTGGATGTTTTTATCGTGAGAGCCTGAAGAAGCAAGGACGTCCCGCTGTCCTTACGGAAAGAGGCTGGGGGTTAAGTGCCTAAAGACACCTTCTGCCCACCGTGCCAGGCACGAGTGGCCACAGAAAGGCCATTTTGGAGACCTGGCATCGAGGCCACTGAAGCCCTGGACTGGTGCTTCAGTCACAGCAGAAAAGGGGGTGCAAGGGCTGGCATCCACCGGAGATGAGGCACAACCATGTAGACGTAGCTGAGCTTAACCTACGTGCTATCAGCAGGGCTGCAACTACAACAGGTACAAAATGCTGAATTCTTGCTCCACTAAAGGTTCTCACCTTTAAAGCCTGTTAATTCAGGCTCTAAGTTCTTCAGGGCACCGACTTTATGGTTTGTCGGTAAAATATCTTGCATAGTCTTGGTCTGGGCCAAAGTAAAACATAAGCAGGCTTCAGTTCCTCAAGTTTCATCATGAGATCAGAGTCCAAGAATTCACTGAAATAATCGCATTTCAGAGTTTTGTGGATTTAGGGCAAAGTCAGAAGTGACTCATGTATAACCGAAGTCTTCCTGAGCATGCAGAGAGCCTGAAACAATAGATCTAAGAGATGCAGCCTGCCCCATTCACTTTTTCTTCAAAATCCACTGTTTCCTCAAGTAGGAACTTGGGCAGCCCACACGAAAAAAATCCACATCATACAGCTAAAGCCACCAGAAAGCCATGTAGGCGTGTGCCTTGGGCAGTCTTGCATTATTTCATTAAATAGCAATTTAGCATCTTGCACTGAAATGTTTTTCAGCTAAAGATGAGCAACTTCCCGAGCAGCAGCAAGGGCCCCGTCCTCGTCACCGCTCCCCTTCCTGGTACGTGATGCATTTCAGAAAGCACGAGCTATCCCCTCCTCCTCACGGGTAAGCTTCTGGAACAGCTTCGCTGCAAGTCACACTGCTTTTTTTGCAGAAGGTAAGTGCTCAAGCTCTTGTTTTTCCTGTGGGAATCCTCCAGCAACCCACAGGTGATTTCTGAGGGCTGCTGGTTTGCCTCCATGTAACCCCTCACTACAAAACCTCTGCAGCAGCTCTGAGCCCTGGCGAGCCTTCTGCAGCTTCGGGCTCTATTTCCAGCAGCTGCCCGTATTAATTTGTTCCCTGCAGGTTGTTGCTCTTGAAGCAGAGATGACAGAAATGAACTGGTACCTGCACTTCAGTTGCTACCGATTCTGCTGGTGCAGACGGGTTTGCAACAGGCTGCCAAACGCTGACCTGGAGCAGATGCTACCTTGAATTAAAAACACACTGTAATGACTTTAAGATGGCAAGGCCCAAGAGACCTCGCCGTTTATTAATAAACCTGGATCAAAAAATGACTGCGTAAGTTGGAAAAACATCATCATTATTTCAGTCCATTCAAAATGCTAATGAATAGTCCATTAGCTTAAGCTTCTAGTAATTATTTTTCTTCTCTGAGCCCAATTACACTTACATACCTCTGTCTAGTTACTGCCTTCGTAGTGTGGTTTGGCCTGTTAATTGCCTGTTGGGGCAGTAACAAGGTATTAGGTGGTAATGTGAAATGTAGTATTAGGTGGTAATGGGAAATGCCTCACAATACAGGATAGAAAAAAAGTGACAGGGTGGAAGAGAACTGGAGGGATCTGCCCACCTGGATACAGACCCAGCGCAGCTCAGCCTGTGGGTTACAGGCAGAACCACAGCTGCAAACAGAAAACCATCCAGATGTGTTCATCCAAACAAAACTGGCTGCTGACTGCGTGCAGTGCGGAGAGCAGGGCAAGCAAACATAACACAGATACATAGCACGTAACATGTAAGCGTATCTGCGCTGAAATTTCAGATGTTAAGAAAGGAATAAGGGAGAGGATGAAATTCCCACAAATTTGACCAGGGAAGGCTGGTTCAGTCTGTAATGCCACAGGGGAAGTTTGAGACGCTGGAAGTTTTCATTGGCAGAATAACTGCTTTTTAACTGCTAAGGTCACCTGGGCATCTTCACCAAAGCAAGCAGTATTGCCAGAGTAAAAAGAACAGCAAATGATCATGTTACTTCATTTGCCATCATTTGGAAGGAGAAGGCAGTGATGTGTAATTATTTTTTTGCTTTTCTTTCCTCTGCTTTCTAAGCTCATGATGTAATGAGGATGTTTAGGCAGTAACATAACCCCTGACTCTTACCCTTGAAGTGCACAACTACTGCATCAAGACGCAAGAGGACTCCACAGGGCTTATGTTTTAATTCAGACTAAGTGATACTGAAAATAATTTTGAGCTGGAGAAAAAGGGAGCATTTTAGAGCACGGCAATGTTTTATTTTTTTCTTTCAGAAACCTTTCCTTTGTTGGCCTGACAAGAAGTTGAAGCAACGCTTTCCTTGAGCCCTTCTGTACAGAGTACATGATGAGAACTTTTTATTTAATACTGTACGAAATGTCTGACCCTTGAGGCATAATAACGTGCTTAAAATACACTTAACAGTACCCTCTGGCTAAAAAAAGTTTCCAACTCGTACTTAAAAAAATATCCATTTAGATGCTTACTTTGACTACGTGCCCAGCATCAATGGCAAAAGTGCTTCTGTTTAGAAAGGATGGTTCAGCCAAAATTCAACTTGTTTTTCAGGAATAGGAAACCAAAGGGAAAAAAAAAAAATAAAGGTAATCAAAGCCATACCAAATAAATCCTCATTCTTCTTTACACCGTAAGCGAACACTCGTGTGTGTGCAAATCTTACTGTTCAAGCTAGAACTTGATGGCACGTCTGCAACGCAACGTCGCCAGTGCTGCTCTCCAACCCTCATCGCTGTCTGATGCTGTTGGGTGCAGGAGGACCACGCTGGTGGTGACGAAGGCCCAGCAGGAACAGGCTTTGTTACAATCTCCAGTAACTTTTCAAACAACTCCATACCAGAGTAGGCACCCACAAGTTTTGACTGTGGTCCATCTGCTTTTCATTTCCACTAGAATGATTAAAATGAATATCATTTCACGGAGGCAATGGAATCGCACCAAATTATAGGAGATGAGACAGTCAGGAAAAGCATCTATTTTATAATCATCTGCATCCATGAAAAAGGCACCTGAAGCGTTTTGGGGAAAAGCAGAGGAGAAAACTGGACTTTGCTTTCCTCTGCCAGACTGAAATCAGAAATATAAGGTTCACAAAGGGCTGAATTGACAAGATAGTTGAGAAAGGGGCTCCCACCTCTTCCACCTGATGTTAATAGCTATTACTAGAACTCGGTGGCTGAGCCAGTGTTTCCACAGTTGTTCTTCAAGAGCACAAAAAGGGCAATCTCTCCTCCCCAGCCATTTTTATGAAAAATATGCTGAAAACTCCCACCACACAAAAACCATTTTCTAGTAAAAAGAATGGTAACCCTTAAGACAGATTTTTCTGCAGCTGGCGTTTACCCTCACGAGTTACAGATCTGCAGGTAGCACCTTTAGACAACAGAACATAACCACCTCGCTACATGTGGCTCGCACACAGCTACCAAGGGGCAGGTTTTTAGCCTAGGCCTAACAATCGTACACACCAAACAACAAATCAACCCTCGGGCAGGGAAAAACAAACACACAGAGCGTGGGTGCTTTGTGGCTAAGCCTTCAGAGAAATGGCCCCTCCGTCACCTGTCTTGACAAATACACTTTGCATGTACAACTGCAGGAATGGGGCAGGCAAGTCAGCTGTGAGATGTACGCCTCATTTGTTGGAAAGTTGGCTTCACACTTTGTTGTTTAGCCTGCAGAAATCAGAGGATATACTAATATCCCTGAAAACTTAGGTTGGCTTCTCACAAAACAATGAAAACACGCCGATTTTCTTCCTCTATTCACGTTCGTTTCTGACTATTGATTTCTACTTGCCCTTTGTTTCTCTGATTCTTGGCCAGCTCAACTCGCAAAGTATTACCCCCGAGGCTCAAGCCTTTCAAAGAGGATACAGCACTCTCTGCGGTTGCTTTATCCTTGTAATCGAGAAAAGCCCTGTGCTGCACTCCTTGCCAATTCAGTCGTAAAGGAGTTGCACGGAATTCCCTTAAAGCACATTTCAGCTCGCTCACTCTTACGCTGGGAGGTATGTTCCCCACATACACAGTAGTAATCATGCCAGATCCCTCTAATCTGGGACTTAAAGAATCACTTTCAACATAATGCTGTCCTATTTGAGCCGAGCTCATTGCAGCCTGCGGTCTTGTATTTTCAGCCATCGCCTTCTCATTTAACGCTGCTGGTGTGTTGGCACTTGCCAAGTCTGAATGTTCATCTTGGAGGGTAACATCCTTGCCAGCCTGCTTCTCTCTGTATCGAAGACTCTTTAGGATGGGGATTTTTTCCAGCATCTCATAGCTGACCTAAAAAGGAGGAAGACAGATACAATTATGGGATTTCTTTCCTTCCAGAAAAAGGAGACGACCATCAGGACCCATTTGTGCCATAAAA